ATTTGTTTCGTAAACGTACTTTTTTATTATTCGGCGTTAAATTTAGTAAAAAATGTTCCGTATTGTTCCACGATGCTAATTCGAAAATATTTCGATGAGCATGCTTTAAAAATGAAATAAAATTATGACGTAAACTGGTTTGGAGCGAAAAAAAAGTAGGAAATATTTTTTTATAATCTTGTGTTATTGTTTTATATGTACCCAATGTTATTAGATTAATAAATAGGTATTTTTGAGAGGGTAAGAAAACTCGAATGTGTCGGTCGTTTACAGCAGATAGGCAACGAAAAGAAAAAGACGTAAAATTAGTTCCGTAGGCTGCAGGTGTGATAGAGATGGCTATACGAGCAAACGAGTATAAGAAAGAGAGAGATGCAAGCATGGTAGAGTGAGTCGAAAAGCAACCGGTCCAGGGTAGGCAGATGCTCTCACTAGAAACCCCCACGGCAAACTTACAGATTCCAACAATAAGAAAATAATTATTAAAAACAATTCCTGTTAAACCTTTATCCAGATTCTGAGTTTCGCATGGGAAATAAAATTACCTCACGATGCCTATGTGGGGGGATTTATCTCATACATACATACTCGTGTTAAAGTCCAGATAGGGTCTTCTGGGTACTAAAGTCCATAGCAAAGCGATTGTTTCCAAGTATAACCCCTAAATGTTCAATAGAAGAAGTCCTAGTGAAGTTGTAAGGGTTGCCATGTGATAATGACCGTACTTGGCGACATTTACTGAATCATTACGATCGATTATGTATTGTTATAATTAATTCGTACGTACAGTTCGTGATGGTATGTGTACTGATTAATTTATACATACATATCTTATCAGTTTGAACTTAGACTAGATTAGTTTAGCTTCCATTCACGTAGCTGTCGACGTCATATTGAAGTATGAAGAAAATTATTGCTATTTTAATTAATAATCTTATACCAGAGAATAGTAATTTTAAATCCTAATGCATAAGAAGAAAGTACAATCTAGCATAAAAATTCTAACTTTAGATAATTATAGAAATATGGAATATTTTGTCAGTAATACGAATTCGGGTCTAGATTCCTTTCAACCATAATTACACCTAATTTGTTGATTCATACTAATTTTGAGCTCTTGAATCTCGAAATTCCAATGAAATTCGACTTCAATATAAAAACTAGTTATTGCAGATACATTATCCGCGTTATTTTCGTCATTACCTGAATTTTTACCGGTATTTGTTAGCAAAAAACACATGGTGCTATTAGTCGTAGGTACATACCGCACCGAGGAATGTTGGCACCGTGCCAAATTACCTGTCTGTACACCATCAACTCGTTAACGTTGAGTTTTATGAATTAAACTGTCTATATTATAACCAGCCGAGAGAGCGTTATACTTATCCCAAGCTAAACCTCTATAACATTGATTTTAATGATTACCTAACAAAAGACACATCAAGAGCATCTATGGAAGAACATTTTTAAAATATTTGCATTGTATTCAATTCATAGTATGATATTCATAATGTATTTTACATAAAATCACATTGAAGAATAACGTGTTCGCGTGTCTATTGAAAAATCAAACATGCGCGCACATGTGTGGCTTTAGAATTATGCGGTTAGTTAGATAGAAAAAATGCAAGGTATTCCATCGTATCAGCGTGAGAATAGCTCCGCTGCTACGGCACCGACCGAAAAACACTTTACGTCAATTCACTTGCTTTTAATTTTTTTCTCACTTCCGAAGCTCAGGTCAATACGAAGGCTCCGAGTCGGGACGGGATTGCAAATGCGTGTAAAGGAATTCCGGAACAAAAATGTGCGCGTCTACCTGCAGCCGGCAGATGCGCCCTGAGCCCCCGCTCCCCTGCCCCTCGCATACCGCCATTAAACCATGTAAATTGATTACGTGGAAAATCTGAGAAAATCGCGCGCTAAGTACTGCAGGCGCGTGACCGCTACATGGCCAGTGTCACATGTGAAATTGCTCGGCTTTTTTGCATTCCGCAGCGCTGTTGTCGCCGCGGTCATCCTTGGATTGCTGCGATTACGATTGTTTATCGCCGCCTAGTTAACGAGCCTAAGCTGATTCCGAATAATTAAACAACTGTTACGTTTAGGGTTGCCACTTTATTGCTTACTATTACTGAGAACATTAACTGTTGTGAGCTTTTATGATACCAATGGAGCAGGTAGCCTTGCTGTGGATGTATAGTTAATTTATCTTGTAGATTGCAGTTAATCACTATTCGCAATTTCGACTTATTTAGAATTAATATAGTCAGTATGTGTCAGTATCAAATATGCACATAAAATTGAGATTCGAACATTCCTGGCCAAAATAAAACTGAGATAAGACAGACCCTATAATTAGATTAAATTGATTAAAATTCAAAACACCAAATTATGTGAATGATTTCGCGTGAGGGGTTGAGGTCAGTGATGGTCCGTTAGCAAGTCTCCGCGCGCCGACACCTCGGCGGGCCGTGCGTTTCGATTCGACGAACTTATTACGACAGATGGCCGCGGCCCGGGAGGCGGGAGCGCCCGCGGACCCCGGCCCTTCGGAGAGATCGACCTCCGAAATGCGCCCGAGATTGCATTCTTTCGGCGGCGCGGGCGCATTCCACTGCGCGCCATCCGAGCTCCGCGCGCCCGCGCCAGTCGACGCGCGCCCTTTTGGGGGTTAAGATGTGTCCGTTGCGGCGAGCGCTCACTATGTGGTCCCAGCCGCCTCCCCCAGAACCCGAAACGCAGGCGGGCCGCGAGCGTGCGCACACCTGGTGCCGCGGCTGTTTCGGCAGCCGACAACTCGCGCGCATGGTGCGCCAGCCGCCCGAGTACGGCGTCCGCGTCGACCCGACGTCCGTCCAGCCCGCCGGCTTGCGCGTGCGCGACGAACCCCAGTACCAGAACATCGACGAGATGCGCAAGCGACCCGAGTACGCTAACCTCGACGAGATAAGTCGCGAGTTCGGTTACCGGCTCTGCCCCGAAGGTCAGAACCTAGAGGACGAAGCTATTTACGAAAACATACTGTCAGTGCGTCAGATCCGTTCCGCGGAAGTGCGTTTAGTGCCTGTGTCTGAAGTGGCGTACTACGAAGGTCAAGGTTACGTGGCTACGCAGGTGCTCAGCAGGAATGGGACCTTCCCGCAGTGTCCACCGCACACATGGAGTCGTCTGCAGCAAGCATGCAGGCTCAATGGATCGCTGCGGCTGTTCACTGTAAATGTCACTTGTTTCTCCACTCGGAATATGTACTCATTACACCTAGCATTTGACGTCATTGCTTCGAATACAATGTTCATATCTAAATGATGATTTTTTAGAGAACAGGATATAACCGTACGATGTTTCGTTGGTGTTTTTACACGGATTCCAAACTAAAAAAGTCATTGCCCAACTCATAATACCGTATTTAACGTTCGAAGCAAAAAATGCCTGTTTCGGTATTCCGATCTAATGACTCGTTAATTTTGTATGTGACTTGATGAATTTCGTATGGACTTGCGAGATATTTTAACTTTATCTTTGAGAATTCTTAGTTAATTATTGGGTTCCATTATTATTTTACTATGGTTGTATTCTAGCACATGTCTTGAATAAACGTGTGCGGCTAATTTTCGTTATGCGCAACTTTTTTTGCTCTGCTAAAGTTTGTTTTGTAGGTAACACTATGTTTTACGGTTTTGTTAAATATTGAAAGAGCTGTTGAACGATGACGATAGCACCTTGAGATAATATGTTTATAACCACGATCCACTTCAAAGCAGTAACATAATTCTTCACAGTCAATCAAACATTTAATAATTATACTACCTGACGGGGAATCATCGCCAAGTAATACCAACCGGTAGCGATATAATTAAGTTTTTACTATACACCTTTGTCTCATAATTTAATCAAAATTTTTGTATTTCCAACAAAAAGTTGAGCTCTGAGGAACTCATCAACATAATCGTGTACCCTTTTAAAAACAAATGAGGTCCGATGAGCTTTGATTTTACCTTTAAAAGAAATTAAATGGTTTAAGACGCTTGATTATAATCGAAAATTGATTTTTGAAATACATATCTTATTTTCATGTATCTTAAGTCTATGTTTTTGTGGCACATAATAGCAGTATTTGTTAGGATTTTGCAGTAAAACTTATGTATTTCATTTCTAGTGCAGGTATATAAGGCTACGGTTAAAACACATCAATAACCATATCAAAATTATGTTCTGTTTTCTTATCCAGTTTTTTTATCATTGGATGAAACTTGCTATCTGGCAGTAGTTCTATTAGGTGTTCATAAGAAAATATGTTTTTAGGAAAAAGTAGTGCAAACTGTTGGTCTAGGTGGGCTCCGTATTTAACATAACAGAAATTGCTTTTAGCTATAAATTTTCTCCTCACTACTTTAATCTTTTAATAAGCAAATAAAAATAAAAGCTGTGTATGAACAAAATATGCAGTTTCTCAACGCAGGACCAAAAAGAAAGAAAAGATAGTGACGCCAAAGGAATGTCAACTATAAAATTATCACCCTCATTATGTATTATCATATGACAATGTTTCCAATTATAATATGGTAATTTTCAACTACAAAACTTGCTATAGATATGAATTGCAATATCTATAGGTCCGATACCAGGCATATTTGTGCCTAATTGTAAGATCGGGTAATTCAATTCCTCCTGTTTGTTCAGTTTATTTATATCGAGAAACTCCATCAAATTTACTCAAATAATAATACAACTTCGATTTGAGTCAGCATACCTAATTAAGTCTAGTAAATAACTGCGGTTAGACGTCTATTGTCCATTAATTGGGGTAATCTGAGACATTCCATTGACAAAGAAACTCAAATATTTTAGACATCAGAGGTCATTTTTATCATTTATTCTTTATATAAAATTACTTAGGATTAATCTTGTGCACCTTCTTTCGCTTCATGCCCTTTTTGTATACCACCTATGTCTCTTTTTACTTTTAATATTAAATCTCTCTTCTTTTTTGTCCACAGGCGAAGAAGGAGATGTACGATGTGAAAAAGCAGAGGTTGTGTTTAGCCCAGGATGAATACAAGCATTTGAACAATGCACTCTCCACGCTAGCGGCCTCTAGAACTAGTCGTAAGTAAACTATTTATGATAAAGAGAAAATTTCTGAAGTACCTACAAGGGTAGGAGAGCAATGCTTCGGCACGAATGTGTCGGCTCGACAGGAGTGATACCTAGGCCACACAGAAAACCGTCGTGAAAGAACTACAGCTTTTTTCCCTCCCCCAATTCCTAAATGTCTAAATCCGTAATTCATAAAAAGTTGGCAACGCACTCGTAACTCCTCTGTTGTTGCCGGTGTCTATGGGCAAGGCTGTATGCTTACCATCAAGTTATCTGCCTGCTTATTTGCCGTCCTATCTCAGAAAAAAGTACATTTTCGTATTACAAATAGTTCTTTAAAACTGAGACCGTTTTGAGCAAAACTACTTTTTAGCAATATTTTGTTTTCCAAGTAGTTTGTTGAAAATGCAGGAAATACTATTGAAAACATACAAAGTTATCGTAATAAACTAGAACCTAAAATGTTATAGCGTACTCTATTAATCGTATCCAGAATGCTTCAAAAATAAAACAACTGATATTTATGGGGAATTAAAAAAGTTCGTTGGTACCTTCAATTCAATATCAAGTCGTCCTGGCCTGACGGTAAATTGTAATCAATACAAAACTACTTAATATTAACATTTGCATACACTCAAGATGAGTGTGTAAATAAATTGAAAAATACTATTTTTTCTACCGACCCATCTCGATTGAAATTCTTATAAACTATTAGAGGCCCGCTCTGTGATAAAAAACAATTTTCTTCAAGTTATGAAATAGCTTTATTCCAAGCCTCAATCACAATAAAATAAATGTGGAATGTTAATTATAATGGGAGACTGGGGGCTGCTTGGTGTTTGTTTACTAGCGTTAAAAAATATGCGGGTCTTCTTGAAGATAATTAAACTGGTTATTGGACCAGTATTCTTGTTTTTTCTGTACGAAGCATTTCAATATTTCTGTCAAATGTTTCGTCCCCGATGCATACTTACGAGTTCCAATTGTATTTCTCGATGAAGGTTATACTACTACAGTGTACCTATCAAGCTTTATTTTTATCTGATTCCATAGATAGTGTCCACATTTTATCGCAAAAAAACTTGCCCCTTAATGTTCATACACCGTGTCCGTTTATTGAATGTAATTTCGTATTTTATTATAGTCCAACCCGACGATGTTATTATTTTATTCCTATCTTTTATTTTGTCCAGCTTTGATAGCGACAATTTATTTATGTTTGTTTCTTAACGCCCAGTACTTAGTTGCCAATGTTTGTTTATTTCTGTATATTAAAAACGTATATCCAAATGATGGCCACACACTACAGCTCTTGTAGATTCAACTATGTAGTTAATTGGAACACCTGTGTGCTGCCCGAGCGTCAATTCACTCCTTTTCTTTTTGGATTTCTTGGTTTATTTTGGATTTTATTGATGGAACTTTGTAAATGCCAGTGTACATAAATTGATTCTATTTGTACGTTCTTAAGATAGCGTTCTCTGTCGCAGTGTGTTCATCAACGACGTCGATGACGACGACGTCTACCACCTCACGACATGATCCGGAGCTTCTGAGGTCGGAAGTGACGCAAGCGCGCGGCCGGGTCGCTCAGCTACGCAAGGAGCTAAGGCAAGCCCGAGCTGAAGTCGCCAGCGCACGTCGCGGAGTTGACACGCTTGCAGAGTTAGTATGCTTATGCTGGAATGTTCTTAGTCTTAGATGGAGAAGTCAGGGGGAACGCTATACAAACCTAGTCACAGTAAAGGTGAGACCTAAGTTTGCATGATTGTGGGAATCTAGGACACATTGGATCGCAATAATTGTAAGTATAAGAAAGTGAGCGTGTTTGCGTCGAATGGCATCCTTTGAGTGTTGGTGTGGCGTTCACTAAGGTGTGATTATAACACAAAAATATGTGAATCATCTATGCTTGGTCGCTAATTCGAGATTTCCTATTTCAGAGTCGAGCAAAAAATTAGCGCTCAACAGGGCTGCTACAACATTACTGAGGCTCAAGCCATCATGACTGAATTGAAAAATATTCAGAAGTCGCTCACCTCTGGAGAGAAAGAGAGGGCGGACCTCATGCAGTCGTTAGCCAAACTAAAGGATGATTTGACGAGACTGCAACTTGGGGACGCATCACCTGATCTGTCAACCCTCTCACTACCCCAGGAGAAACTAAGCACTGCTTCCCAAACCGATCTTTGTGCCGACTTGGTTCCCATTGGCACGAGATTAGCTGAAATGGCGCGGGTTCGACTGCAATACGACGCAGCGCGGAAGAGAATTCAACAAATTCAACAACAATTAGCTGACCTAGAGGACAAAGTCCAGCCCGGCCAAGCAGAATCCGACAAGGATAGACTGCTACTCTTCCAAGAAAAGGAACAACTGCTTAGGGAATTACGGAGCATTACTCCAAGAACGAGATCTAAACAAGAGATGACTGAAATCCAAACCGAATGCAAGAGATTAGAACAAGACCTGAAGAATGCCTTTGAAATGTCTAATAAGTGTATTGCGGATAGATTGAGGCTACATGAAGAAAAGCAACTGTTGTTACAACAGTTGAAAGACGCGCTGACGTCGATGACGACCTTGGAAGGGCAGTTAAAGACATTATCAGCGAGTACACTCTCGGTGTCAAGCAGTTCGAGCTTAGGGTCCCTTTCCACAGCCAGTAGTAAAGGCTCACTAAGCTCTGGCATTAGTTTTACTGATATTTACGGCGGCCCGCAAATCGCGACGTCTTTCTCAACAGACAAGCCTATCGACATGGTCGATTTGCATCGAAGAGTTGAAAGGTGAGTGCAAAATACTTTTCCCCATTCAAACGTCAACGTAAATTATTATGAACACGTTTAGAGATACATCAAGTAAATTTATGCTACATTCGAATAGGTTTATGCAAATTTTTCGATTTAGGACCTTTGTGAAGTAGGATTATGATATAAATTTGTACGTTAACTTTCTTGAATCGATTTTGCTTTCTCAGTCCAAATATTTGCAAGCTCAACCTTAAAAGGATGGAGTGCAATGTCAGAACTTTCTCTAGGATTATCGAATGATTACGTTGCGTTTCTTCGCTTGACCTATAATGTAGGTACAAGTTTCAACATACGACTATTGTTTATACAAACACTTGTTGCTCATAAAAGATCAAAGGTTCATAGTTCATGAACTTGAATTATCATGACATGATCTTTTATTTTGACTTGTCGAGAATTGTATGTACTGTTTTTATGTTTACTAAGTTGATTGTCCTCTATGTGCATAACCTTATTTATTTCTTATGGATTTAGGACTTTCTAAGGATTTTGTATATTATTGAATATGAAGTTTTATATTTTACTAGCTTCTGTCACTTGCTGCGTGGCTCCTACAAATCGTAGCGTGATTTTTTATAGCCTAAAGTCTTCCTCCATATTTGTATAACAAACACAAAAATAATTATTTAATTCGAACCAGTAGTTCTGGAGATTAGCGCGTTCAAACAAACAAACAAACGCTACAGCTTTATAATATCTTGATTCTATTAATATTAAATTCTACTTACCTACCTTTAGTTGCGACTTCTACAGTGACCTACAAATTGAAATTAAGACTTATAATTATTTTACATTTGTGTGGGGAAGTTTTTAATACATTTCAACTACTTTCCATCAGGTTACTGCGCGGTTCAAGTTACACCGCAGACAGTGCGACTCCCGGAGCCAGTAGCTCACCATCCCAGCCGTCCTTATCACCGAGGAGCAGTCTGTCTTCAGCCAGTCCACCACCACCTCCACCCTCGTACAATCAGGTAATTATTTTTTTACTTATTTCGTCTTCGTCTTTTAGGTGTACATTTACAGCATTTTGAAGTAAGCTTATTATTTTGTAGACCTTATATAGTATAGTATTTATTGGTAACGCTTGTAAAAAGCTCTGGACTTTCAGTGTCTTGTAAGTGTTGATGTAAGTGTAATTGATAATTATTGTAAGTGTAATCGTAAGTGTGACAACCCTGTTCATTCGAGTATTGTTGCGGTAATATTGAAATTATAATTAATTTTATTATATTTAATTTTATTTTTAATGATTCTTGCATCAAAACATTGCGTTTTTGTAACATATCTCAATCAAAGTCAAAGTCATTCCAACTAACCATAAATAGGTACTTTGGAAACGTCAAAATATAATTTTTCTGTCAGTCTGCTCGTCAGTGAAGCTAGGTGCTAGTTCCAAAGTGTAGATTCGAATGGAGAAAAATACCATCGTTACTCTTTAAAAAAAAAAAAAATAGTTTTACAGTTACATGATGATATTAGCTTCACATATGTTTACATGAAATTTGATCACTTTTACAAACCTCTTTACATAAAACTTACAAAGTATTACATAATGTATATCTAGCATTAAACTTTTTAACACCAATTCACACACCACAAATAGATTTTCTCATCTATACTTAATGCTAAACAACCTTTTTCTTTAACCCGAAAGCGTGTGTGATCACATTTTACACACGATTGTATACACTCATCGGTTCCTGTAGTATTTTGTACAATAACTTTACTGCACTGTGACAAATACGACGTGAAATGATCTGCGCTTGCGCATGTTCTATCAATATGTCACGTTGTACTTACCTGTTTACTAAAATGTTAGGTAAAAGATGGCATTTTAGGTAATTTCTGCTTCTCCCATTGTGGGACAAAAGTTTTGGTATTATATTGATTAACTAGCTACTCTCACTCGGCTTCACCCACTGCTCGGCTCCATTTGATCGTAGCGTGATGTTTTATAGCCTTTAGCACTCGGGAACATTGTAGCTATCTATCAGTGAAAGAATTTTGGCAATCCGACCAGCGGTTACAAACATTCCACCCTACATACAAACTTATAAATATTTTCCTCTTTATAATATTAGTAGGTGAAGATTTTACCACCAATCGGCCTTAAGCAAGCGTGGTGATTTACATATGTTCATTCCTTCACAATAAGATACATTCAGAATGTCAGTAAAACAAGTTACAATCTACATATTTAGTCCTCCTAAAATACCTAGTAGTAATTACTAGCCTAACCCCATCAATAACACATTTATCAACACACATCAAAACTAAATTAGTATTAACACAATAACAATACAAATACAATCTCATTATTTATTTTAATCCACAAAAAATACCAGTCATATTATTACACATCAAATGCTAAATTATAAAACGCCCCGGGCCCAACCGTCTCTTGCTTTCACTTCATAGATAATATTTGTGTTTATTTTATTGTCATATGTTTTATATGAAAGTCAGTCAGCTGATTCATGTATGTATGAATATTATGTAACTGTCTTATATGTTTACACCCACTATTTGACGATTTGTTAGTTGGTATAAGACTTGACATACTATATTTTAGTTGTAGGCATCTAAACAAACATTATTGAGCCAAAAACGACAGTGGCGCCAATTGATAATACTGATTTGTGTGAAAATATAATCCAAATGTTTTTCTTCTCTTATAGGTGGAGAGACAAAGGCGGCAACAGCGGGAATTAGAAGAGAAGTTAGCAGAAATGAGGATAGGTGTCGCTACTGGACTGAATGAGGTCACAGGTCTTGCTACAAGTAAGTACTTAACTCACAAGATGCTTAATTTTTTTCAATCGTTTCCTTTGCTTCTCCAGAAATTATTATAATAACTCCATGGTAACTAATTACCAACTGATGGTCCATCTGCAATACCAGAGGCATCATTTTTAGCATTTAAACTTAAGTATTCTTGATAGAATATGATCCAAAATAATTATATCCTGAACTACTTTAACATCTAATTATTCTAGAGATAATAGAACACGTTATAATAGTATGTTATGTTCAGTTCCAGTACAGCTGCAAGGCCCTGGACGGCCGTGTGAGCCGCTGTCTCCCATATCAGAGACACCCCCGCCACCATCGCCCAGAACTCCCTCGTCTAGTGGTCAGTATCATAATAAATTATACTTCTGCCCGCGGTACTAGGATGAAAAGTCAAGCCAACGTGTGGTGACGGAAATGTAGAATACACTACAATATTCTAGTGTTATGTAAGCCGACTAAGAGACAATATATAAGTATTTGACAGGCGGCTTAAGTCATTCTGTCTTCTGCATTAAATTTACCAAGGGAAGTGGAAACTAATTAGTTTTTCTCCTCCTCATATAATATCTTTCGTTGCGGGATCCTAGACAGTCATTCGTGTCCCTGGGACGCGCCGGGCTTCAGTGTTCCGGTGTTTTCGCGGTTGTGTCTACTGTTGATCCTAGATTACAGGAGCTGCAGCGGTTTTGAACGTTTGAGGCGGGATTATCCAAAAACAAAAACATATAATTGACAGAAACCGAGTTGAAAGGCTCTCTGTTAAACCTAACCGTTTTAAACTGGTATTTGCAACCTAAACTCCAAGTAAACATATCTTATCTAGAGGAAGGGTATTTGATACTTTAAAATCATCATAGCCATAGCCGGTTTATCATGGTCTCGCTTGACATGATCTTTTCTCTCATTCAACGGTCACTTTATACTGGTTAAGTACATAATGCAATTTACAATGATTGCTGAAATTATAGTAAGACATGAAATAATATTTATATTCCTTTATTTTCAGGTACAAACACTAGATCAGTATCAGCGGCAGTCAGCGACGAATCAGTGGCGGGCGACTCTGGAGTCTTTGAGGCTGCGCAGGCGGCGAATGATCCTTCCAACGCAGGTAACATTATAGTACCTACCTTATTCTATGTTAAGAAAGGTTTAGATTCAATGGGACATGTATATGGGTCTTTTAGTAGGTGTATTCTATTATTCCTCCCAAATTTAGTAAAGGAAAATTATTTTATTTCATAGTTAAATGCTGTAACGATGTTTCTATTGTTGTTAATTAATTTGTTGATATTGTTTACAGTGAACAGCGCTCAAATAGAGATTAAACTGCGCTACTGTGCGGAGAGTAGTGCTTTAGAGATAGGAATCCTGCGCGCGCGCAACTTGCACGCGCTGTTCATTGACATCGGCACGCAAGTGTGAGTATAATATTTACTTATAATTTTTGATACTTAGAGTATTTTTTTCGTAAAGTTTAGATTCTATTTTTTACACTTTTTAGGGAGAAAATTAGGTAAATTTTCATTTTTAGACTGCGAAATATAATGCCCTTAGCAAGAGTTTTTTCAATTTTAAGTTTAATATAATTCATTATTATTCATTTATTTAGAAACTTAAAACTTACCATTACAGTTTCCCAACACGATAGAGAGAGATTATTAAAAGATAAGAGTAGAAGAAAATAATGTTGTGTTGTATTCCAGTGGTGTGCGTTGTGCCCTGGTGGTGGGCGGTGGGTGCGGGGAGGCGTGGAGCGGCGCGGGCGCGGCGTGGCGCGGCGCCGCGCTCGCCCTCAGGCACGCGCACCGCGTCGCGCTCGCAGGCACGCGCGCGCTGCGGGCCGCCACGCTGCAGGTCAACCTTACTGCTGGAACCGAGTGCCTTGTGAGTATATACACCAAGTCTACATTCAATATTCACACTACTGTACTTCTTCATTTTCCATTACACATATAATGTAATTAAAAGCCTTATTTTTTGCCCTACGCTTGGATTTTCTCCTGTGTCTTGGGTCATAAACATACAATTTCTCGACTATTTGTGGATCACACATAGTGTGTTTTCCGTGCGGGAATGAAACCCGAGACTTTGCATAGCAGCCAGCTGGCCAGCTACGGCGCCAACCGTGCAGTCAAATAAGTTATCTTTGTGTCACTTAGATTTCAATATAATTTTAAGCCACACACAGTACATGTTTATACTCAAGACCATTCAAAAACATTCTCTATCATCGCTACTTTTATAAGTCATTCAATATGGCATTGTTGATCTTATTATTATTATATTTATGAACACACTCCCATTTAGTTTTCGTTCACACATACTTAGAGAAATAAAAAAGAAAATGATGAAAACTAGCCAAATTTGAGTATTCGGCTTTTTAGTCTTGAGTGCCATGTGAATACCCCACTAGGCGAGAGCGATTAACTTCTGAATTCTTATTAGCTTTACCCGACATATACTTATTACCCCAAGTTACCCCAATCTTACCCGTTACCCTTTACCCTACAGGGCTGTGCACAAGTGAGTCTGGCGGACTTCGAGCCAGATACAGTGTCACAGAAATGGTACAACGTCCTCAGCTTCAGATGCATGAGACGGGATGAGAGTTCAGATGAGTCTACTGTCATCTCATCTCAAACATCCACCTTGACGAGGAATAGAGGTAAGAAATTTATCTGTGAAAACTTGTAATTAGCATTATTAATGTTATTTACAACCGAACTGTACTGTACTTGATCAGCTGTGAGTTTTCCTAAATAAAATAACGTTTTAAGGTGAATAGTCTAAGCATTTCTCTCGATAATAGCGAAAAAAATATTATTAACACGCCTAGTCTCGTAACATAAACGTAATATTTTCCATAAAAAGGGAACCCAATTATGATCCAGACTTTGACTGATGTTGTTTTTCGTCTTAAAGTTGTTATGAAGAAGAAATGAAAAATATGATTTGTTACTAATTAAAAGAGTCCCTATATGGATGGATGTATTTGGCCTCCAGAAATTCCTTTCCCATTTTCTAAGCTGGTGAACTTATTTTAGTAAACTAAATCTACATCACAACTTTTATAAAAACAAAAATTATAACGATTTTGGTCGTTTTACAGGACCAGAAAGTATGACGGGTGCAGAATGTAACGTTGACTGTGGGGACAATTCAGCATCGGAGGACGATGAGTCTAGAGAGCCACTTAATCAGGTATGTAAACCAGTTAATATATAAATTGGACTTATTGAAGACTATTTTGATATGAATAACAAACCATTCTAGTATAAATAAAGCCGCATATTATGTACCTAATACTGTTTCATAGAAATAGTAAACACCATCATTCTGTGCTTCTCCTCTTAATTTCAGAGAGTGAATTATTGTTTTTCTTAATATATTTAGACATTTCCGTTAGTTTACTAAATTCTGAAAATAGAATTATAATACGGAATAACTTAATATAAACTTAAGCCACATTTTTAATTAATTAATTATATTTATAGTGCACATTTTTCTAACAAAACCTTACTCCCTTTTACAGATAGTGGAAGAGGATTCATTCGAGGATTACATTCCTGAGGAGGAGCTTGCTTTGGAGGAGGAGTACCTTCATCCCACGACGGCGGAGAAAGAAACCAACACTGAGTGTAACTTCTGTCCCGAGGGAGCTCGCCAGTTACATAGAAGGTATGTACCAAAACAAAACTAGAAACAAAATGAACAAATATGTCTGTCTATAGTCCTTTAATATAACTTAAAGACATTTAATACAGTTCTATTCTCATAACTATTTTCTTAATAAATTTTTTATGGTCCGAAATCTTTCGGCTTAGCTTGAAAGTATTCGAGCTCGAGCACTAAAGTGTTATGGGAGTAAAACTGTGTATGTAAATAATAATAATTGTTTCCTGTTAGGTTATGGTGAAAGGGAAATTAACTATTTTTAGGGTTTTTATTAATGGTGGTAGATTTTTTGAATAAGTATTGTAGTTCGTTATGGTTGGGTGAAATAAAATTTATTTGAAGTTGAACTTGATCTTTTCAGCATAGAAAGTATGAATGGGTATTCCAATTTCCAGTTATATTCCATAGCCTGAGATCTAGCTCAATAGTTGGCAAAAATTTAACATAAAGTAGTGCAAACAGTTACTTACTGTACTTTAGAGACAGTGTATAAACTGTCTCAAAATACCGCTATAAATTTCCACTATCTTAAATATTACTTACATTAAAGTCAAAATATTTTAAACTAGCTGCGCCCTGTAGATTTACTCGTATATGTATATCGGGGGTAGTGTAGCTTCTACAACAGTGAAAGAATTAAGCAAATCTGTCAATTAGTTGCAGAGACTATTCAATTCAAAACTATATTTTCCTCTATATAATATTAGTATAGATATAGTATAAAATAAGTTGAAAAAACGTTGTATATAGTCTCCATAAGCTTACTAACGTCGGTGTTGGGCTACATAGTTCCGTTTTCCTCTCAGATATAATATGAAGCGGCGCGCCGCAGCGGACGGCCGGCCCCAGCTCGCGCCGTTAGAGCATTAACATATACACAAACTTGTACATACTTGTATATATAGGTATGTTTACATTGTGTCGCCTCTCCTATGTGTTTTGTCTTGAGACACACGTTTTGTATTGGTTTACTGGTACGACGCTTTACAGGTTAACCCGACTAGTTTCGCGGACAGATTATTTTGACTTTACAGATTCAATTATTCATATTAAAAATATTTTTTATTGAAACTTACTGCCAATCCGAATCTCATCTTTTGTTATTGAAGTAATGTTTTTTTAATAACGATAGCATTTGAACTATTTTATACTATACAGTCTCTTGTTTAAAACTTTGTCCTATACTTACTTGAACTTTCTCCTGTGTGTGTTAACGCACCCACGTTAACAAACATACAATTTTACATAAACATGACATCGAGACTCAGAACAACAATTAGTGGTATAAACAAACAGTTGTTTCGTGCGGGCAATCAAACCAGTGATACGTTGCAAGACAGCCGTTTGTCCAGCCACCGCGTCATCCGTGCCATTGAGACGTTAAACTAGTCGGCTTGACCTAAAATAATATATAACTTTAAGTTACCGTAAACCAATATTAAAACTAACAACACAGTGTTGGGATGTTTAATGTATCACAAAAGACTGGGTGATGTACTCAATTATTTTTACGTTTTATTTCAAACTTAACATAATTATTGCGAGTCAAATTATGATCAGTTGCTTGAAACAATTATTTTGTAACTCATTGTAATTATTTTGCAAAAATATAATTTATATTTATGTATTTTTATTTTAAGTTTTTGTGTGGAAAATTTTGTGTATTTATTTATTTATGTGTATTGGGTAGATCACCCTAGCATGTTTATTTTGTTGTTATAATCACACACAAACACACACATACACAATTGTTATGTGCATGGAAAAGCATGATATGTGGCACAATGTGGATGTATCTTTTATGTTTTATTGAGCATTGTTTTATTCAAGCTAAATAGAATCATAATCTTTACTAAAATATGGTTTAAAATACCACAACAAATTTAATTAATGTAGTGATGATAGCAGATATACCTACTTCAGTCTGTCAAAATTAATTTGAACTTTATCACAAAGCAATAAAGTTGAAAACCTAAAAGGACATAAAGAGATTGAAGTAGATTGATTTGCTAGCATCTCTATATAAATATAAGGTTCAAAATACTTCAGCACTTGAAACCTTAATACTTATAGAATAAAACAATGTTCTGCATGTATTAATACGTATTGAAAGTATAATATTATCTACAAATATTGATTTTATGATTATAGAAAAAGCCAACAAGTAAACGCCAGCCTCGCCGAGCCCCTCGCTACCATCAAGAGGTCGCAAACATTCTCGCCACAACCACAGAGTGTCGCCAAAGCCCAATACATCTGCAGGTTAGTTGCAATAAAAAATATCAACATTTTTTGACTATATGTTTCTGACATCACATTATTTAAGAGTAGGATATATTTATTTTATGCCTTGATATGGTATAATCCTAAGTTAAAAATTTTATATATCAAATGCAAATTGTCACAAATTATAGGTTAGTACCTAACTCAGTATTTATTTATTTAAAACTTTATGCAACAAAACATTATATAGGCGGACTTAATGACTTAGGCATTCTCACCAGTCAACCTTAGAGCACTTAGACCTTTTGATTTTAAGTAAACTTAATTATATTTTTTAACTATTGAATTTCTTTCATTTACTAAACACGGATTCTAAACGGGAAGTATCATAGGTTATAAATTTATACATATTTATATGAAACTATCACTAAATGATTGTTCTTTATTGACAGATTGAACCGCTCGGAGTCTGACTCATCGATGGCTGCGTACGCGCGTCGAGCGACGAGCCAGGCCCCGCCCCCAACCGGCATACCATTCGACCGCAGCGTTAGGGAAAGACGATCGCTCAGGTAACATTATTATTATAGCTACATTACCTTGGTTACCAAGCCGAGGCTGCGGGGCAAGCGAAATGATGCACCGCGGCATCGACCTAGAGCAGGAGAAGGAACTTCACTTTGGGACGAGTACTGACGAACCGATTGACACTATAATAATATTATATTTAAACTTTCAAAACTACCTGTTTATGCTTTAGTTGGAATAACGTGATGTTTGACTTTGAGTTTAATAAAAATAAATGTTTTTTTTTTTGTCGCTATCAAGTGTTAAATTCAAAATATCACTAAAATCACTAAATATCACAAAATGTTAATATTCTATCACTTATTTAAGACTTTTTGCAAAATATCATTACAAAAGTAAACTTAATGTCGTAGGCATTTTTTTCATTATTATTAATTTTATTTTGTTTCATATCTACTTTTGTCTATTGATTAGTCGTGAGATGTACTCAAATTCCATTACAGAAATGTGTAACACTTTCTTTCCATTATTTATAGATGGGGTAGATCAGGATCGTGTATGCGCGGCGTGCGTGGGTCCCGCGGGTCCCGGCTGGCGCCTGTAACGGCTCGCACGTCCCTGGACCTGGCGCTAGACCTCCGCGCCCAGCACTCTCGTCTGCACCATCTGCGGACCGATATCGCTAACCTCACTGCTCTCAAGAAGAGGTAATTTCCTTTTCTATGTCATAAGTAAAAAAAAACACCTGATAGTATGCGATGTACTTGCACTATTGACTCGGTGGCTGGGCAACTGACTACCGCGCAACGTGTCTTAGGTTAATTTCAGTTCGGAACAACTCTTTGTGTGATCCATAAATTGTTGTTCCTTTATCTGGGTGTGATGATTATGTGAAATTTTATATTTATAAACGCACTCACGACGCAGGAGGAAATCGTCGAATCGGACTTTTTTTTTTAAAACAGCATCAGTGTCTTTATTGGAAACCCTTAACACCAAAAGTTCCAAGTGCTTTACTGACGTATTGCGAATTGGGTATATATTTTAGTATACTTACCGCATTTTGTTTTTACGATTCACAAAACAATGTCAGTTTCAGCACTGTCTTATATCATAGCCCTTGCTCATATGCAACATGACCATCTTCTACTTGAAGTTCGACAGGCGTTCCGAAATATCGCCTACTTTACGCGCTCAGGTTGACTTATTTCTTTTCCGGACTCTTAGTGTTATTTTTACTAGTTTTCTTCATAAGCAGATGTTCAAGAATCAGCAATTAACAATAACCTTCAATTCCAGATTAGAAGAAGCCTGGAGTCGAGGTGACCCGGCCGTGGCGGCTTGGGTGGCTGAGGACGAAACGTTACGTCGCCTGGTCAGTCCAGGGGACCAGCCAGCTGACCGAGCCTCACGACTGTTAAGTAGGACCTGTCGTGAGATCTACCGTTTGAGGAAATCCAGACAGGGTGGCCGGAAACCTGACCTTGTCACCTTCAAGTGAGTATTTAGTATTTCTAGCTAGTTTACAAAAAATGTCTAAAACAAAATATTAAAAAGAAGGAATCAATGGCAAATAGACAAACCATTGAAGTTGAATTCTTTATCGAGGCTGTGCGAAGTTATATTTGAGATTAATTTCGTTCAAATTACACAAAGTTTTTTTAGGTACCTACTTCAAATCAAATCAAAGCGTTTCAAAACTGCTTTGATAATAATAATAGATCACTAACCAAACATAACCTTCTTCTACAGAGAAAAGATGGCATTCTTCACTCGCACCAAAACAACAATACCCCTCCTGCCGGGCGAGGATGGTGACGAGATTCCATCCGAAGACGACTGGGAAGAAGATTTGGAAGAACGACGAACTCCGGACGGCAGATCTTCAAAGACATCTTACGAGTTACGCCGTGACCAGCCAGCTACACAAGACCCGCCGGAGGTCGTGGAGTGCAAGAACCCGTGTTTGAACCTCGAGGGTCAAGAGGCGAAGGATGACACTAAGACTGATGAGGTGAGGTATGAGTTTGTTGTGGACAGAGTGCTCGGGGTACAGGTTTGAAAGGATAGGGCCGTTACTACGGTTGGTGACACTGCGCAGGGATTAAAAAAGGTTTCATTTGAAACCACCTAAAAATTTTACTACTAACTACTGTTTCAATAACAGATTTATCGTTAATGGACGTTGCAGCGCCCGCGCAGTTTCATTTATAATGTCAATACCAACCGTTGCAAACAGCTCTAGTATGGCCTATGGCAAAATATGGCACCATAAAAAATTGCAAATATACAATATTAAAATATTACTGTGATCTTTATTGCCTATTGAGATTTTCTGGATCGAAGACTGAGCAACAACTTATATATATACATATATGTGTTATTGGTTATATTATATATATAGATATCCGGACTCTAAAACATGTACGCATGTGTGCAAATAGAGTGCCATAAAATTAAGATTACAATATTGAATCTTATACACTTTTATACCGATTATGTATTGTATTGCATGTACAAATTAAAGAACAAAATTTTGAATGTTAGAAACTCCTGAAAATGGTACGATTTGATACAAACCCGTCCATATATAGATATAATATGTATTTTTATGTAACTAGGAAATATTATTACATTCATACTGATATTATAAAGTGTAGACAAGTTGGTACTTGCTGTTCAGTGGTAAAAATGTGCCTTTTGATTGTTGGTGCCTGAATAATAAATGCCTGCGATTGTGCCATAACGGCATGTCAGACGGGGGTATATAGGTACAAAGTAGTTGTATGATGAGTCACAAAATGTATGCCAAACATATTTTTTTATTGTAATTAGAACATAATGTGGGTTTACGGTCACTTTGTAAATAAAAATACGTAAAATTGCTGACCCACCGACTAAGTTCATCTGTAGATAAAATAAAAATACTAATAATTTTTGCAAAAACATTAAAATTGTTCTCAATTTCCTTATAGAAATGACTAAACGCAGACTACATTTCATTTTAATTTTTGCAAAAGTTATATTCTGGTTAGGGTTCTCTCCACCGAGTAAATAGGACTTGAAAAGCCAAAAAGAAAGCTTTGTACATAAGGCTTATGTTACGTGGAGTACTTGCCCTACAAAACATTTCAAACTCCGACCTAGAAATTATTTGAAATTACAAACATAATTATAATACAAAACAATAAATAATGTGTTCACAAAATATTCATCATAATTATTTAAGAAGTTGTATTGACGTGCCTACAGAATTATAAATAATTATAATTATATAATTATCTAGGTCTCATTATGTACCCGGGCACATTGACGTTACAAGCGTGCAATAAACAACGTACTATCAATAGAATTACTTTATGTCATGTGTGTTATCAGATCTGAGTTTGTACTGAACATTTTTTGTCTCACTCATTATCATTCTTATGTTTAGAATAGACCATCTTTCATTATAAACGCTATTTTTTGGGAATAGCCCCAAAAAACGCTTTCTATGTATTTGTCAGTCAAATTCATCAGTAAAGGTAATCTGTTAACGTTTATAATGAAAGTTAAGTTATTTAGTATTTTGTTGACAAAAATAAATCAATGATTTTATTAAATTACATTTTTTGGACATAAATTTTAATAAAACCAACAACAAAAAATCGTTTGGTTTTTTGAATGAGTTGATTTATTTTTGTTTACAATAAGTAAATTAAGCACTACTTGTACATTTTGTACATATCATAATTTAATATTATTTTATTTTAGTTGAATAAATCTTTGTAAATAATCTGAATAAAAAGATACGTTTAATTAAAAGAATTTGCATATCTGAATTTTGACTTTATAATTATTTTCTAATTAATTATTTAGCAATATTAGTCGCTGTTAAGTATTCCTAGCTGTATTTTACGTAATGTTACATTTTTGTAAAAAATGTATATTTTTATTATAATTATTTACTTGGAGTTTTTATACATAGTGTAATTGTTACTGAGGTGAATTTGGATTTGCCAAATTAATATAAGCCTTGTTTTAATTCTTCCATTAAAATAAAGGGGTCATTATATTTTGTAAAAATGCCAATACAATTCATACAAATGAAAATAAAAATTATAAATTAATCTTTATGTTTGATTTACCTCAAAAATTACCTTACCTTGTATCAATCTTCCAAAAACCTCTATGTAAACCACCCATCATTAATCTACATACTAGGTTGCAAACGTTAATGGTTGGTCCATATAAGTTATACATATATCCTGCAAAATGTAGTAATTTTCTAGTTTTTGTACATGGAAACAATTTATTAATGAATTAAAAAATAATATCCAATTTACAAAAAAATGATATGCAGTGCTTGAGAATATCAGTAGCCTACCGCCTATGGTAAGTTTGAGCCTGACATGATAATATTCAGTAATCACAGAACTATACCTACATGTAAGCAAATTACACAAAATGTGTACACGATCACTCAAATATCCAAAACATTTACAGCTACTTTTAAAACGTCTAAAAAGTCTTGACACTTGAAAAAAGTCAGACGTCTTTAAGGAAATAAACCAAAAATTATTCCCTGACCCTGCGCTCTAAATTTTAGGTTCGAATGGAGAAAAACGAGGCAAAACTCAAAAAAAAAAAAATGTAAAACAAACCTCAGTAATAACAGCCTTGTCGACGACGACGGCTCATTTTCTTATGTGATAGGACGGTAAACTAGCAGTCGGCTTGCCTGAGGGTAAGCAATCAGCGCCGCCCATGGACACATCCAAAGAGTAACGAATGCGTTGATTTTGTGGGTTATTATTGATTTTAAAATTTGTATGGGATTGGGGATCAAAGATATATTGGGACTCCGTAAACTCACTCAAAAGTAACACAATGCAGGCGTTATTTCACGCCGGTATTCTATAAGTCTGTTGTATCACTTGGGTGTATCCGACTTATTTCATTTTGTGTGTCATTATATTTGCGGAGATACCTACCTAATGCTTGACAAAGTAACACTGAAATGGCTTACGATTTGGGAAGTCATCGATTGACCCCGCTTACCCAGGTTGGGGCGAGAAGTAGCTACCTACTCTCCCTAAAACCAACCCGTTCTTTCTCCTGCTCCAGGCGGAGGCCGCGGTTCATTATTGCGCTTATCCCACAATGCAATCCATGCAATTATGGACCATGTAAGTTTAGTTTACACATACATCGAGTTCCTTTTGTTTATGAAAATAGGCCTATCTAATAACTAAGTTATCCCGACAACTTTACAGCCCACTTGTAAATAGTAAAAAGACTAGGTACCTACCTACGTCATATGCATATTAAAATCAGCTTCTTCCATTAGGGAACAAACCCCCCAGTACGGGAGTTTCCAAGGTCTACCGGTTTTGGTTAATTAAATAAATGTCATGTTACGTCGTGGTAGGTTAAGGACCCCGTTTCTGATGAGGGTCCCCACCCTCATCAACCTGGCAAGTACCGATGTGACGTTTTCCGTAGTCATATGTACTTTGTATGATTATTTAGACACCACTGACATACGGTGAAGGTAAACATCGTGAGGAAACCTGAACTTATAATTTGTAATTATAAGTTTGAAATCGCCAACCCGCATTGAGCAAGCGTGGTGATTAATGCTCTAACCTTCTCCGTGTGAGAAGAGGCCTTTGCTCAGCAGTTGGCACTTATAGGCTGATGATGATTATGATGAAATAAATGTCATGAATGAATCTTGGCATGTCTTTTTATCTAAAAGTTGTACTTAAGTAAAAATTTTTGTCAGTTGATAACAACGTCTTTAATATTTTTTTATTAGTTATTTGGATGCTTTTGACCTCTATCACGGCTGATGGAAAGCAATGATGGGGTCTTAAGTGGAACACGCAAACTAAAAAAATACCTATTGACTCTTGCCTTGAAAAATCTAGGGCTTCGACATGTGTAGGGTGGATCCATCTACAAAATGGGAGCAGTACTCCATACACGAGCTTACTTGAGCTGTGTATAGGCTTAACAAAGGACACACAGGCAGTTTTTGGAAGCATTCAAAGCACTGGTCTCGATGTAGCTACCAAAATAAAGCTTTGCTGAGAGGTCGATGCCAAGAAATTCGAGGTGGTCGGTGATAGGAACAGGCTCATTTCGAACGGCGGGAGCCAAGCCAATATAAAAGTACATACCAAGATTGTTTACGTTTAGTTAACCACCTGAACCTAAAAACTCTAGTCAAATTCAATACTTATTATAAGAATACCAAAACTACACTTTTCAATGAATTTTGTATGAAAAATAATCAATATTTTATGTCACCTTTATGACATCACTAAAAGATTACCTATCAGAGATACTGACATAATTTACTATGCAAACATTAGCTTTGCATGCAACTATGTTAGCTAAACAGCACCTAATTGCCGTCAATTTGTTCTACCATGCAATTTTACAAAGTCAATCGTAATTACCAAGGTGATTATAAAGCTGTTGTTTCACTTTACCTATATAACTTAGTTGGGTAGGTATATGTTTAGACTATTTAATTTTGTTCATTCGATCGACAAGTAGGTACAAAATGATGAAAAAATATTTTAAAGTATTGATCTTTACATGTTATGGTATCTACGGTTCTCCTTCAAAACTCTAGAATCTGACAAAAGACTTGTTCCCTATTATTAGGACTAAAGTCATAACTAGTAAAATGCACGAATAAACCTCTGCCTATGAATTTGAGGAATAAGCAGCGTGAAGTTTGCGCGTAGTCAGAGTCAAAATACAATTAATTAAGTGTGTGATGTGTCGTGACCCGGCGGCAAGCAGGAGATGGAACGGGGTGGTTCTAGTCAGTTCAGGAGTCCGACTCTCGCTTCATCCAGGGCAGGAGAAGTCGATGGATAATTTTTCCACATAAAAACCAAAAGAGCTATTTTCAACCCTCATATTAAAGTCAACTTTTTGATTACCTACACCAACAAAAAGCGTTAAAAACTCCACACAAAATTATCGACAAGAACCAAGATTAGAGAATCACGAATTACAATAAAAAAGGAAATTAATTATAGGGCCGTAGGTAAGTATAGCACGTGTCTATAAGTACGTTTGTACGTAGGTACGTAGCTACGGGTCAGTTCTTTACACGCAAACTACCAATCCTACAATCTCGGCTCACAATCGCTTAGATTACATTTGAAATAACGACGTATTGGTCACACGACCGAATCGAGTGCGCCATCTTGTTTTTATTAAGAAATAGGTACTTCTTTTTATAAATGAATTATTTTCTATTAGATAAGTCATATTGTGTCAATCTTATTTTTTTATCGTAGGTTTCGTCTAGATGTGTTACCTACATAATCTAGGTATTACACTTTATAAAAGTGCTAACTAAACCTGCACGGTTTTACCCGCTATTCGGCTCCTGTATTGATCGTAGTGTGCTATTTTATACAGCCTATAATAGATTTTTCGACAAATGGACTAATGGTTCAGGTACTAGCACGTTCAAACAAACTAAATGTTCTACATATTAAAATAAAAAACATTTTAGTTCCTGGCTAAGTTCATGGGACAAATGTAAGTATGAATGTATTAAAGGTATAAGTAGTGAAAATAAATATTCAATAATTTTTTTCGTCAGAATCCGAGTTAAATACAGAAAAATAAAAATTTTATATACTTATTATAAATGATTATCCATGGGTTGCCAAATGCTTCCCATCATTCGATTAGTCACAAAATTGTTGCCAAAAATAGGCAACGCTATGTATAGGTAGAAATATATAAATAACAGACTTTTAATCATGAGTTTACCTAATAGTATGACAGTTAAACCACAGCTTTACAATGACCAAATAACAAACAACCAAGTCTAAACAGGAATCAACTTTGCGGTAACATTTACAGTAACAAATTAGACGTTTAGCAAACTGTTATGTAATATCTTTGTAACCACAGCATCTTATTAGAGTGATTTAAAATAATATGACAACTAGAATTATGACCAACTAACGTCGCATCACTTTACAAACTTAAATCTGCAATGGGTAGATGTCGCTAGTATCGTAAATGGCGAACATGCTTTGACTTTTGCACAAATGTTCGTTAGTTCCGATTTTGTTCACCTGCAAATAATAAGTTGGTGTTTATAATGAATGGTAATTTAAAACAGATGTCTATTATTTTCTATTTGTTTGCGTTATCGTTGTAAATTAGCAGTAAGGAGGTAGTCATTATCTCAAGCGAAGGTGACTTTGAAGACAAAAATAAATGATTTTGGTGTTAGACGTGTTTGAATCTAATCTTATTATTTTGTTTTGTTTTTCATTGCATATGTTGGCAAGCGAACTAACTGATTATCTGTTGTTAGGCAAACGGCACTGTCCGTAGTCGCCGAGTCTGCCGAGCCTTTTGTGAGTTGCTAGGGACTTAAGGATTTGGAGATTGAGGAAGGAGGGTAGGGAAAAGTTCGGGCTTTAGTTAACCTCACACAGCGAAAAATAACATAAGTTTTGTTTAACGCCGATATTCTGTAAGGACGTGGTGTCACACCGGTCGTGTCGAACCATGGCTCTTTCACACTAGATAATTTAAGTTCTACAAAATCTATGATTTGAAATTGGTAGAATCAGCTGAAGTTAATGTTTCTTTTACCACTTATTACAACATTGTATAATTATAGTAAAATGTTATTTGAAAAATATTTCAAAATATATTATAGACGTAGTGGTTTTCCTGCCCGATCCTTTGCTTGGTTGTGGTTCCTCATCTTAAAAGACAGTCAAATAAAAAAACTTCTATATTCAAAATACAAGCTCGCACTCTGATTCGTCGCTCGTGTAATATCGAGCGGTCCTACTCACGCACATCGCAGCACCGGATATGGAGTGTTATATAACCCAGATTGTGACTTGGAGGTAAAAGAATTTTTATTTTTTACCACCACAGCTAGGGTGAAACTAATTAGGAATTTTCGTCCACTTCAAGCCACATTTATGAGTAAAAGAAAACCATTAATCATACGCAAGGGGCTCTATATATTTTTGGTTGCCATAATAGTCTTGGAAGAAAATAATGGAACACTCATTTTGTGGCAATAATTGACTATAATTCATTTCGTTTTTACATAATAGCT